CAGTAAACTGTGAAGTACGGACCTTTGGACCAGCACTGGTTAATGTTGATCTAGAAAGTGCCTTCATTCACAACGAGGAAACCTTACCTATTTTAAAAGGCAAGCGATTATTATATTTTTATATGGAAATTCTGAATGCTTAGGAATAAATCCATTAAAAAGGGATTTGCAGGTTTAGCTTTTCAGTGGAAAAGCTCCTGGGCCTCAGTGAGAGCTGAAGTCTCCTGTAAGGTGTCTGTCTTCTGTGTTAGAGACAGAACATTTCATTCTGTCATCAATAAAATAGTTCTTTTATTGATGCATTGCAGTTATGCTTGTCTTGAGCTATATCTAGAGCTGCATCGCAGTTATGCTTGTCTTGAGCCTGCATACCAGCCTTCACTCATGTGAGTGATCTCTGTTGACCACTACTATTATTCACCTAAGTCTGTACTCTAAGGTTACATTCTACATCTGTTTTCTTGTATCGGTGTAATAACAAGAGAAATCACAAATAATGTCCATTTCTGCTTCTCATTCAGTGTAAAGTGCTACATTTCCCTAGTTTACAAAATGGCCATTGATAAATCCAACAGAATTTCAGTTGATGTTACAGTAGAAGCTAGTTCTTCATTTTCACCATTATTTAACAAAAGATATTTCATATTCACAGTAGATCACAATAAGAAAAAGTTATTCTCTTTCCTACAGAAGACTAAAATATAAGATTTAGCTGCACTTCAAAAGCCATTTCTTGAAATGGAGTGTCGGCCATAAAGTGGCAGGCAGGCTTCTTGAGGAAAAAGAAGGACCAAAAGCAACATTGTCTAATAAATACTTAACAAGAGTGAATGAAATATAACAGGTAGAAATAGATTTTGTGAGATGAGAATATTTCCTTGTAAATACTAGAACCAACTGTCAGTCCCCCTGAAGACAACAAGAGCGTTTTTGCTGTTGACTTCATTGGAATAGGAATTTAGCTACTGAAGTTCAAGAATTGTATAATGGAGTGAAAGTGTCAAACCAAGCAAGGTAGTTACCCAGTGTTACCACTGCCTCCGCCTGCTATCGATCCCTTCTCATACCCTATTGATACTTTCTTCTACATTCATTCTTTACCAAATTCCAGTATGTGAGTTCAGCAATTTTATTAGCCAGTGCATGACTAGTGCCAGCCAAATTCACCCAGTAAAATCACAAACTAAGCCTTTTGCACTAAGCCTTTTGATGTTTTTAAAATTAAACACTCCAGAGCCCTATCTGTTTCTGTGGTGACCCAAATGCTGTCAAACCTGGCCAAAACGTTGGAGATGATATATACATGACAGTGTGTGTAAACTAATGGTTGTTATGTATTATGTTATGTTGCTTAGAAATGGCCATTGTCTTGAGAAATGAAAATGGGACCTACAGATACTCAGAAAACTGCAGGATCTGTACAAACAACACTTATTTAAATGGACTGTGTAATTTCAGTCCTGATGGATATGTTATATGTGAGCAGTGTTGCAATCTCTGCAAACTCAATTAAGTAAATAACCTATGATATCGTTTTATTAGCAAGATAAGCTCAATCTCTATAAATGTAATTATCTCTGTGTCGTATGTGTCATCTCGCTCCCTTTATTCCAGTGCTCTGTGAGTTCTGAAATCTCTCCTCGTTTGTACTATCTCATGATAAACAATGTGACTGGACATATAGAACTACTTAGTTCCACTGTAATTTAAATCCCTCTATGTGAATTTTAGGCCTGAGGTTATGCGCTGAAAGTCTTTAACAACCCAAAGCTTAAAATGATTTTGGAAGAATATCTTTTTTGCAGCAGAGAGTAACATGTACAAAAATCCCCTATACAACCACAATTCCAATCATGATGAAACAGATTTTTTCCTTACACTTAAAATGGGTGAGTATATGTCAGGATGTATTTAAAGGAATGCTTTGTAAATCAACACACCCCAAAGCCACTTAGAAAGTTTTAAACAATTTTGCCCTAAATGCAATGAACACTTCTCTATAAAATACTACTCTAGCTGGATTGGGTTTAACAGTTGACATCCAAATCTTATTATCCGTAATTGTTAGTCCATATAAATTCCACTAAAATCTGACTGCAATTAACTCTTCAATCAGACTTAAAAACTACAAACAACCCCCCCTCCCCAAAACAAAGTTCCGCATGTCAAAAATGGACGGTTATAGTCAATATCACATAGACCATTTAATAGGAGACAGAGCGTATCGTTGTTCAACCATACAGATGTGGTCTGTGTAGAAGTCAGTTGAGGGGGGCCATCACCTTCTTTTCCGTGCAGCATCGTTGTGAGCAATTGTCACAGTTTGCCAAGTCACTCTCTTGACTGATAGAATAAAATATAGCCAGACTCTGAATTTTTTGATATATCAGAGGTCAGACCATAGAATTCTTCAATAGCTTGAGCATCTATTTTCTGCAAAATAAATAAAAATTTTTAATGTGCTGTTAGGTAAAAGAAATACCAAACATGGATTAAATGACTATATAAACACAAAAGACAAATTCAGTTATTTGTTTCAGGGTAGCAATTAGCAAATTCTGTCTGCAATTTAAGCAGTGAAAGGGTAATGTTCAGGGGCTAAGCCCTACTGGTCTCACTGATGGAAGTCAATAGGAATGTTTGTCTCTGAAGCTAACTGAATTAGGCTTTTTCCAATAACAGAGAGACTCCTTGGAATGCAGTAGTGAACACTTAAAACACACAAATGTGACCATGTGACCCCATCTTTCTGAAATTTCCAGAAACCCTCTTCAAGACATGCCCCATCCAATGTCCCAGTGCTTACTTTCCTCCATTGGATTTACTCCTGGGGAATCAGACTCAAGACCTCACTTTTGCCAAGGTGCCACAATGACATAAAAGGTTTGCTTAGGAATGAGTTGCAGAATGCTTGAACAGAATCTGTAATAGCTGTGTGCTAGATCCTGCTCTAATTTACATTCAGACAAGCCCAGATTGACTACAGAATCCAGACTTTCTTGTAACTTCCCAATTGTTCAAAAACTAAAATTCTACAGCAATGCTAGCTTTACCCAGTCCAATTTTGCCAAGTGATATTGCCAAGGATTGCAACATACTTCCTGGATATTTTAGGTTTTAATGAACTAAATTGATTTTATTAGACACAGAAAACATTCCAAATTAAACTCATGAAGTCTGATATTAAAAACATTTGATGTTGCTCTGAAATAAAACAACCTCCTCTGACATTGACAGAGTAAGAACTACAGGATTAATAATTTTCTTTGCAATCTTACTTCCTAACAGAGTTGAGCTAAATGTCACATTACAACCAAACTGTGGCTTTGCAGACTAGTAATCTATACCCAGGTCTGCATCAGAATTTTAACCCCAAACAGAGAAGAGAATATCAACACACAAGTTGTGCTCATGACCTTCAGCATACTGACCTCTACAATGTCATCATCAAACAAGAGCCAAAATCCATGACTTTTCACAATAGTAATATAATGCCCCCGATTTGGTCCACTAGAAAGCAGAACAAAAACACAAACCCCCAAATATTAGAAGATACTACCGAGTCCATTTTGATAAGTCACATTTCTAGATGCAAGCAGACTGAATTATAACTGAATGTTACAAAGAACATAGTAAACCCACCCATGGTGGTACAGTAGACATTTACTCCTTTCACCTTTTTACTGGGTTTTTGCAAAGACTTCATCAACTGAAAGCTAAATGTGTTGTTTTCGTCTGTGCCATGACAATTTGCAAAATAACCTATAGAACGCTTAATTTGCTCGTGGCACCATCATCTATTGCAAATATTTAAAAAACATTATGAACTAAATTTAAGGGGGAAAATTGTTTGGTATCAACCGTGAGCATTCAGTTACATACAGTCTTTGAGAAGAGGGAGAACCAGTCGTATTCCTAGAGCCCCAAGGATTTTTCTGTTTGTTTTGTATTTGACAATACCCCATATGTGGGAAGCTTTATTAAAGCTATCATTTTCATTGCCTTGACAGGACACCAAGGTGATCTGTTGTAGGGCCTACATGCTAGCAGTGTCTGGCCCTCACAGAGTCCTGACTCCAAAGCTCTCTATGCAGGCTGATGAGGAAGGAGACAGCTCCGTTAATTTAAGCCAATCTTGTGACTTTTGGAGGCCTGAGACATTTTTTTTTAAACAAGTACACATTTACTATGAGGGAGGGTGGCTAAGAGGTTCAGGCCAAGACACAGGCAAGTTGGTGCAGCAGCAGGGTTTGTATCCTCCCTCCCACTCTCCCCACATTTTGTCAGGCATGCCTCTGCCCTTGGCAAATGTCTGGCAATAGCTTGAGATATACCTGAAAGTATCTTACCTTCCACAGTGAACAACAACAGCTACCAAGTCGTACATCCGATCTAAGTTGACAGCATCGCCAGATGTGTTGAAGAGACGTAACTCCAGAGGAAATACTACACGATAAGACAGCTTAGTATACCTGTGCAATTGCTCCATATACTTGAATCTCTTGAGGTGTAAGGCAAGAATCATTGGCAGTTTTTTTACTCTCATCCTGTGAAACCATTAGAGTGCATATGATAAAGACCTGACCAGTGCAAAGCCATTCTGTCTTTCCTTAATGAGTAAACATTTGCATTACAAAAGCACTTTCTAAGTAACAGTAGTCGGCTAGCAGTAGCTTCTAGACTGAGACACATGTAACAGCTTTGAATCTGTCTGTAGGTTCTCTGGCCCACACAGAGAATGCAGTTGGGGTGTAAGGCGTCTAGGTATCTAAACACAATAAATGACTAGGAGGAGGTTTGTCAAGGCCAAGGAGGGACATGGTGAAATAGCCTGCTCTTTGCTTACCTTTTCTGTGCCTCTTGTTTACTGCAGCAAGTTTCACAGTAGTATTTCTGTTCACTACATAATGTCTCTGTGTTACTGAAGTCTCTGTAAATAAATACAATTATCAGTTCTTAAAGGACCTTAACACTTTTGCCCCACTTGGGCTGATGAACTGGAACCCTAAAAAGACACGGAGGATGAATTCTTCTCTCCACTGTCTCCAGTTTTCTAAAACATCTAAAGCAACTGTACTGGGGTTTGCAGAAGAACTAAAGGTTTCTGGCTGCTATGACAGCCCTGTATTAGCAGCTGAGGCCCTCCATACGATAGAGGTGCAGGGTCAGGTATCTCAAAATGGGATTTATATCCTGGTCTCTTACATGTCAAGGGGCTGCCTAGACTTGGGTGTAATCACTCAATCCATCCAGTCCCTTTTTAAATTATTTGCAAAATGGAACAGCTTCCAGTGCACTTCCATCATCCCCAAATAGCTCACATCTTATAGCGTTCTTCTGTAAGATAGGTTTGAATCCTCTTACACAGTTCAATAAATTGAACTCAGTTTTCTGCATCCTCTAACCTCTTGAACTGCCATCCAGAAGTTATTTGATTATACCTTCTTGTTGTCTAAAAAGGAAAGTGTCAGCTAGTATAGAAGATTTTGTAAATCCTGATCAAGTAAATACACTTGGAAATGTTTCTGGATTGAGCTTTTGAAGTGAGAGAGGCAGAGGAAGGCTGCTTTGACAGTGTGTCTCAGTTCACAGAAAAGACTTGTCGGAAGTCACAGTGCTGATATGCTTTGGAGCAGAATTTTGGGTACCTAAAAAAACTTAAGTGTAAAAAAAATGAGAGTAATTTTTTTGTCACCTCTAGTGTTACATTGCGGCTGAGCAGGTGTTTTGAGAACTGTAAATGCAGACATAAACACCTATCTTCCACTTTAAGCACACAGGTTTTCTTGTGACTTTGGGCCTTAAATAGATATATCTGAAGTACAGAACTGTCCTGTTGATTGCACCTACCTTGTACGTAATAGACTTCTGAACTCCAGACAAACTCAGACCCATTCAGACCTAATAAACTCCATTCTACCATTGCAGTTCACATGCACGGAAGCTGAAGCCGCACTGTCTGCAAGTTCAGCCTGCTCTCACAGTAGGCAGCACCAGAATCATCTTACAAATGCAAAGGGAGGATTCTGGATGACTATTTCTTCCTGGCATCATCACCACAGGGGTAGATGGGAGAGCTGAAGACTATATAGATTGCCAAGGCATAGGTATTAGAAGTTATTTACATAACTTCATGAAAGGGGAGGATTTTCCATTTTCAAGTTTTAAATTCTTGACAGACCATGACAGAGAGGCACTTCATATGATTGAATAATATTTATAATAGCTGAGAATGCTTTCACTAGGTTTTTTTCTTTATATGGTCTTAAACAATTTGATCAGAAAGTGCTAAAATTTAGGACAAAATGTATCTCTTGAAAGACAAGTTGCAACAAAACTTTGACCATAAGTAAAATTCTTATCTACAAGAAAAATAAAGCAGAATCACTGGAAAGGATTTGCTTCAGCGGTAAACATTGACCTCAAATATCTGACTTCACATTTGAATTTAAAGATAAAATTAACTGAATTCAGCTGATTCTTCTGAAAAACATGGTAACTTTTCAGGGAATCATAACTGAAGAGATGAAACTTTAGAAAAGATTAGAGATGGGTTATATGTGTGGAGAACATAATGCTGCGAGATTCAGCAGAACATGCTTGTGTAAGTTTTAGGTCTTCTGTTAAGGAAAGAGTCTTGAACAGAACTTGTGGAATTTATTAGTTTCCTTCCCACCTCAAAGTGAAGCAATGGAAATAATATTTTTCTAACATAAACAAACATGTACAGATGGTAGAAATTTCATAGGTATCGGTTTGTTCTATGCTAAGCCTCCCGTGAAAATGAATTCCTTTTAAAATGTATTAATTATTCTGAAACCAATGATATCTAACATTTTAAATGATAAGTTGACTGCTATGGGAATTACATCTGTGAAAGCCAGAGAAATGTGCAAATACCTGACAAGCTGAGGGACATTCCCTCACATGTCCCTTGACATTTGCTCTTTTGTTCATTTGTCTTCTACTTCCACTTGACAGGCTGTTGCTCTGTTCTACCAAAGTAGGTGCGGCACAGTGATGGAATTTAGAGGCACTACTAATTCGCTTATTCAGCACATATTAATTCCTTTTTCTGTACCAGGAACAAAACTGGTGGCATATTTATAAGCAATAACGCTTTCCTTGGGGGAAGGGAGGTATGCAGGTGAGAATTAGATGCTTTTGCTGCCCTTTACAACTGCAACTTCAGTAGCTGTTTCAACAATCGAGAATTTTCAGTGGGGCACTTCTAATAGATGTTGAACAGTTAAAAACAACAGATCATTGACTGGAGTTCACACAAAGTCTGTATGTACAAGAACTATAGGCTTGAGGAACTTTTTCTCTACACCCGCAGAGCTAGTTTCAAGACATTTCTAATTCTTTCCTATTCTATTAACAGGTCAATGAGCATTCTGTTTATATGGTATTTTAACAGAAGAAAGGAATTTTTAAATACACCCGCTCAAGACATACTGATTTATCATTGACCTCATGTGCTTCCACAGTCCATCTCTCTACAGCCTCTATGCTACAGTGTGAAAGATGCTTTCTATTGTTTATATACATAAATAATACAAATCATCTGTTTTAAGAGATGAGAGAATTCTTAGTGGAATAAAAAAGCACAAGCGGACTAGTTAAGTCAGGACCAAATGGACTGGTAAACCTTGCAACTCCTAATGGAAATAAAAATAATGGATATGTACCATATTTGTTATTAAACTTCTATTGCTTCAGGCCCGATTTTGTACCCTGTGGAGTTAGTCTATGCCAGAGGCTTGTATTCTTTGGGCCTCTTATGTACACAAGGACCTTTTCAATCTGAAAAGCTACAGAAATAATTAAAAAGAACAATTATCTGTAGTGGCAAAGAAACTAATTCTACTTAAATGTTATCTTGTGCAGTTTTTCTTTAATTTACCTTTTCAGTGCAGTACCACTTAAATCTGTAAAGGCACAGCAAAGCAGTTGTTAAAAAAAGGAAACAGCAAAGTTTCCAAAAAGAGTAATAACTTGGCCATTCCTATTAACAGAAACCACAAAAGCACTTACAATTCGTTTAATAATGCATAATACCATAAAGCAATGAGAGGAAATCTATATTCTAACTGAATATATGTTTTCTAAACAGAGGTAGACATGCTGCTAGTGTAAAAGGCAATCAGAATAGATGATAGATGATGTCTCCTTTCCTGTTTAACCTGTAAATAGCAACCTGCACGTCCCACCTCAAGAGAAGAAAAACTGTGATTTTCCTTCCCTTTATTTCCAAAAGGAACAATGGGTGGACTTCAAAATGCATGTCATGCTGTTCGAGTAAAGGCAGATACTATACTGGGATGCATAAACAAACTTTTCAGGCATCCATTCTCAGGATTGCGTAGATCTCTGCTGGAATATTGTGCCTAATTTTAGGCAACTGCACTTCGAGAAAGATAGAGTTCAAGAGAGAGGTTCAATTGGAGAGAAGGCCAAAAAGTTATCATGGAATCATAGAATTATTTAGGTTGGAAAAGACCTTTAAGATCATCAAGTCTAACTATTAACCTATCACTGCCAAGTCCACCACTAAACCATGTCCTCAAGCACCACGTCTACCCATCTTTTAAATACCTCCAGGGATGGGGACTCAACCACTGCCCGGGCCAGCCTGTTCCAGTGCTTGATTACCCTTTCAGTGAAGAAATTTTTCCTAATATCCAACCTAAACTTCCCCTGGCACAGCTTGAGGCCATTTCCTCTCGCCCTATCACTTGTTAAGTTGGGAGAAAAGACCGACCCCCACCTCGCTACAACCTCCTTTCAGGTAGTTGTAGAGAGCCATAAGGTCTCCCCTCAGCCTCCTCCTCTCCAAACTAAACAACCCCAGTTCCCTCAGCCGCTCCTCATAAGACTTGTGCTCTAGGCCCTTCACCAACTTCGTTGCCCTTCTTTGGACACGCTCCAGCACCTCGATGTCCTTCTTGCAGTGAGGGGCCCAAAACTGAACACAGTACTCCAGGTGCGGCCTCGCCAGTGCCGAGTACAGGGGCACTATCACCTCCCTGGTCCTGCTGGCCACACTATTCCTGATACAAGCCAGGATGCAATTGGCCTTCTTGGCCACCTGAGCACACTGCTGGCTCATGTTCAGGCGGCTGTCAACCAACACCCCCAGGTCCTTTTCC